GACGTCCAAGCGAGGGCAAATGTGCCCGCCTCAAGTGGACTGGTTGTTGGGTTGGGTTGTGCACCACTTGGGCAAATAGTAGAACATGCTCGAAGTCATTTTCACGTTGACTTGCTACCAGTCTGCAACGTTAACGAGTTGATGCGCTACAGGAAAAGGGAAGAAAGAATGGCGAAGGTAAGGGTGAAGAGAAAAAAGATGTCACGAAGACGAAGATGAGGAAGAGAATGGGCATGGCGGAGTGAAAAACTCAGATCCCGCCCGTTCCTTAACGAAACTGGGCAAGGGAGAAGTTGAAATAAAGGTTTATGGGTGGGGCGAATCAAATGGTGCAGTTAGTTTACCCGATAGAGTGGTGTATGAGAAGGTGAAAGAGAAAGTGAGTGAGTAGAGGTGTCGAAGAAGACGAAAAGGAGGAAAAAGTGAGCATAAGTTTGTGTATCTCTTTCGTTTATACTAGGCCGTTTTGTGCAAACGAAGATGATAATCGGGGGTTTTAAAGCACGCCGAATCTGATTGTCACGTCAGAATTTGAATTTGAAGAATGGTTTGGCCGGTATGGGTGGTAGGAGTTGCGCGGCCACTAACGGGAAGGTTTGTGGAAATGACAGTATATCTTCTCATGTTTTAGTGGGAGATTCATTCTCATTTTGCACATTTGGCAGACTACGAGACGAGGCACGTGATTGCGACTGTCCTCATGTTTGCTGTCTTCTTCTTTCGTTGTGCGCCTCCTCCCACCAACTTCTTCTATGAACTACTGCTCATACTGAGCACGGATCCAATACCAGGGTCAGACCTCACAAACCATGGTAGGAAGCACAACATAGCACGCGCCCTCCAAATATGAAGATGACCACTATTTGGAAATCGACACCCCCACGCCTATGAAGGAGAGGACGAACGTGAGGACAATGACAATCACGTGCCTCGAGTCATAGCCCATCAAATGTGATAACGACCAGGTACGCGGAACACACATTACGCGACAGTGACGAGGAAGGAGGGAAAGAGCGTAGGAGAGGATGTGTGGCGGACTTGTCGGGATAGCGGTCCCTCAGGATGAAGACGGAGGGGTGAGAAAGACGGAGATGGAGATGGAGCTGGAAATTACAGCGCAACTTCAACGCGAACTCAACACGCACATACTCCAAAATGTGCAGAATGAAGAATGAATGACCACAGACTGCAACTGGGGTATACCCTTAGCGGACTGATTGGACTGGACTGGACTGACCTGGTACTGGCGGTGGTACCGGGTAGGACTGGACTGGACTGAAACATCACACGGCCTGTGGGGTCAGGCCACAACTTGGTCCCACAGGCCGAACAGACAAACAACCTGATAGACCCTGGTTGTAGGTCACGGCAGAGAGAGACCCGCTGCACAATCCTCACACCAGTAATGAATCGCAAAAACCATAAACACGCTATCCGCCAAAAGCAGCGGAACTTTGAAATGAAGAAAACTAAAAAATCTAGGATGCGGAGCAAGCTCCATGCAGAGTCCATGCGATGCAGCCTAAGCTATATAATGTCAAATGAAAAACAAATGTTTTGTATACACATCCTAGCTAACATAAAAAAATGATATGTAGCAAGATACAATCCTAAAGTCTTGTAGGCAATTGCCTCAGTGCTGAAAGGGAAAGAGAGCAATATATCACAAGGTAATGTCGTGTCGCTGAACCACTAGAAGTGGGATGATCTTAGAGGGGGTGAATGCAGCCTAAGAATTGGAACTCCTAAGGGCAATCACACACGAAGGTGGGATAGGTCATCAGGCTCAGGGTGAGAGAGTGGTAGCGAAGCAAAACAAATGATCTTCTCGTGTTTTAGTGAGAGATTCATTCTCATTTTGCACATTTGACAGACTATGACGCGAGGTACGTGATTGTGACTGTCCTCATGTTTGTTGTCTCCTTCTTTCGTTGTGCGCCTCCTCCCACCAACTTCTTCTACAAACTGCTGCTCACACTAAGCACGAATCCAATACCTGGGTCAGACCTCACAAACCGTGGTAGGAAACACAATATAGCACGAGCCCTCCAAACAAAAAGATGACCACTATTTGAGAATCGACGCCCCCACGCCTATGAAGGAGAGGACGAACATGAGGACAATGACAATCACGTGCCTCGAGTCATAGCCCATCAAATGTGATAACGACAAGGTACGCGGAACACACATTACGCGGCTGTGACGAGGAAGAAGGAGGGAAAGAGCGTAGGAGAGGATGTGTGGCAGACTTGTCGGCATAGCGGTCCCTCAGGATGAAGACGGAGGGGTGAGCAAGACGGAGATGGAGATGGAGATGGAGATGGAAATGACAGCGCAACTCCGACGCGAACTCAACACGCACATACTCCAAAATGTGCAGAATGACGAATGAATGACAACAGACTGCAGCTGGGGTATACCCCCAACAGACTGATTGGACTCGACTGGACTGACCTGGTACTGGCGGTGGTACTGGGCAGGACTGGACTGGACTGAAACATCACATGGCCTGTGGGGTCAGGCCACGACTTGGTCCCACAGGCCGAACAGGCAAACAACCTGATAGATCCTGGTTGTTGGTCAGGGCAGAGAGAGGCCCGCCGCACAATCCTCACACCAGTAATGAATCGCAAAAACCATAAACACGCTATCTGCCAAAAGCAACGGAACTCTGAAATGAAGAAAACTAAAAAACTTAGGATGCGGAGCAAGCTCCATGTAGAGTCCATGCGATGCAGCCTAAGCTATATAATGTCAAATGAAAAACAAATGTCTTGTATACACATCTTAGCTAACAGCAGAAAATGATATGTAGTAAGATACAATCCTAAAGTCCTGTAGGTAATTGCCTCAGTGCTGAAAGAGAAAGAGAGCAATATGTCACAAGGTAATGTCGTGTCGCTGAACCACTAGAACTGGGATGGTTTTAGAGAGGGTGAATGCAACCTAAGAATTGGAACTCCTAAGGGCAATCACACACGAAGGTGGGATAGGTTATCAGGCTCAGGGTGAGGGAGTGGTAGCGAAGCAAAACCAATGATCCCTCCCCCCCCCCGCCCCCCCCCCACATAATGTGTATGTATGTGTGTGTGTGTGTGTGTGTGTGTGTGTGTGTGTGTGTGTTTATGT